AGCATCGAAATATCATACTCTTCACTCCTTTAGCAAGAAGGCCTTAGATTTAGAGGCCAAGCTAGGAGGAGCTCAACAACTTGCTATGGACGGGAGGGAGAAGAAGCCCCCACAAGAATGGAAGAAGAAGGATAGTCGGTTGATGATGGTTGATTCTGATGGGAATCAAACCGAGATTATGATCTCTCTAATCTTGTGGAGGAAACAAAGATAGGTGGCGAGGAGAGTGCAGAGGGTGGCAACCTCGTCGCCATAACCAAAGGAAAGGCAGTTGGTCGCGGCAAGGGCAGTCAGCAAAAGAGTCAGGGGAAGGCTCATAACTCAAAGAAGATAGCGGCTTGGGTGAGGGTTGGCCTGGATCAGGGATGTGTGGAGGGCTCGGTACTCGCGAGGAGCTTGCATTAACTGCGGCGAATATGGCCATCAACAGTTTAGATGCAATAACGAGAAAGTCTCTCAAAAGATTCTTCCCAAGGCGGTTTTGGGGGATTTTTCGCCCAGAGTTGTGCCTCTACGAGCTCCAATCAGGGAAACACATCCGGCCCGTACAAGTAATAGCTGCTTATGCTCATGCTGAAGTGGTTGATGTACCCTAACCACTTCAGGAGTTGGCCGAAGTTATTGACTCTCTAGTCACCCCGCAGATACATCTGGACCAAACGACACTATGTTCGTTAGATGTATCTGAGGCCTTAGAAGACTTGGAAACTGAGTGGTCGGCAAGGGACCCTCATGAGTCTTGGGTGGCAGTATCTAGAGGTCCTAGAGGGGAGCATTTCATAATGGAAGCCGGTGTAGGTGGCCGCAAGTGTGGTGCCTTCGTAGACATTGGCTCCATGCGGAACTTCATAAAGCGCGACTGTGTTGAGAGACTGCACCTAGGGGACCGGGTGCAGCGCTTGGGTAGATATGTGACATCTACCCTGGCCAACAAAGAGCGCATGGTTGTAAATGACTACGTCAAGGACATAGTCTGCACCTCCTACTACGGAGGTGGGGAACTTAATCATAGGATTTCGTTCCTAGTTAGCGACGACTTGCCATTTGACATGCTGTTAGGTATGTACTACCTCGAGGTTGCACAGCCCCAATTCGACTGGGACCGAAAGGTGCTTAAGCATGTACTACCGGAAGGTGGGATAGTCAGACTCGCGAAGTACAAGGCTAGCAGTCGGATAGACACTCACGGTTGTATGTGTACATCAGCATTCTATAATTATTATAAACAGAACCAAGAGGAGGGTATGTACTTAGTTTTTATCTTTGAGAAAGGGGAGGCCGTTAAAATACCACCAGAGATAGAAATTGTCGTCGCAAAGTACCCTGTTCTATTCGAGCAGCCTTCAGGAGTCGTAAACAGGGAGGTTGTCCATGCCATAGAAAGACACCGGAGGGAAGAATCTATAGGATGGCTCTGACCGAGTTGGACAAGCTTCATCGACAACTAAAAGAGCTCACAGAGAAGGGTTGGATTCGACCGAGCATCTCCCCCTTCGGCTCACCAGTTCTATTCGTCCCGAAGACGGGGGGACACTAAGGATGTGCATTGATTATAGAGGCCTCAATGTCATTACCGTTAAGAACGTAGAGCCTCTACCACGGATCGACGACCTATTGGATAGGATGCAGGGATGTAGGTACTTCAGCAAGATAAAGTTAAAATTTGGGTACCATCAAATTGCCATTAGACCAGAAGATCAGCTCAAAACCGCATTTCAGACCAGGTACGGTTTGTACGAGTTTGTGGTGATGCCTTTTGGCATTTGCAATACGTCGGGAACATTCCAGCACGCCATGAATTGGGTCTTTCATGACTACTTGGATAAGTTCATTGTCGTGTACCTCGATGATATACTTATCTTAGGTAGGATTGTCGAGGAGCATGCCCAACATGGTGAAAACGCACTTTCACTCCTGCGAAAACACAAGTATAAGCTAAGCTTAGAGAAATGCGAGTTCGGTCGCAGTAGAATCTTGTACTTAGGTCATGAGATATCCGCGTTAGGCCCGAAGATGTTAAGGTGGCTAGCATAGTCTATGACTGAGGTCAGATCATTCTTAGGGATGTGTGGCTACTACCGTAACTTTGTGAAGAGCTATAGTACGATCGCCTCCCCTTTGACTGATCTAACACGCCTTGATACACCTTGAGAATGGACAAACGCATGTGAGGCTGCTTTCAAAATATTGAAGTATGCCCTCACACGTCATGAGATTCTCATGGTCCCCGATCCGGAGAGGCCATTCGTTGTAACCACTGACACAAGCCAATATGGCACAGGCGCAGTGCTAGCCCAGCAGGAAGGGAAAAAGTTGAGGCCCATCGAGTACATGAGCAAAAAGATGCCATCCAAAAAGGTGGCGAAGTCCACCTACGAAAGGGAACTCTACGCCCTTTACAAGGCTCTTGTCCACTGGAGGCACTATCTGTTGGGACAGTTCTTCTACTTGAGAACTGACCATCAGACACTCAAGTGGATCAAGACGCAGCCTGTTCTCTCCGACTCACTCAAATGTTGGATTGAAGTCATATTGTAGACTACGTGAAAGGAGAGTACAACAGGATTGTCGATGCGCTATCTCGAAGGGCAGACCACCTAGTTGCGCTGATAACTGAGTTTGGCCGACATTTTTCCATACGTGGGTACTCAAACAGTTGCAGCACGCCAGTTGGTTACACAGAAACGTGAGGCTTTTGGCTCTTCAGAAACATGGGCTGCGCTGTACAGTTGAGCCCAGGGCATGGGTGGTTGCGCCCTCGGCACACGCAGTGCAAGGCCGACACATCACGCAGCGGCCACGGACGAATGAGAAAGCAGCATTGTAGTCACACATGAGCCGTGAGCCAATGAGAAAGCGGCAAACACTTGGAGGCTGCACGAGGCCCAGACCAATATGCAGAACTGGGCCTGGGCGCAGACACCTGGGGCCCAACCGAAGCTACTGGGCCCCCCCCACACGGCTGGCCAGGCCAGCCAGCCATGACACACTTTCCATAAAGGAAAGTGTGAGCCTCTGGCCGGGGCATTCTGGCCTAGGCAGGCAATGCGGACACACTGCTGCATTGCTGCGCAAGTGTCTGCATGGGCGCTGCTGGTGGAACGCGCGCACGGGTGCTGAGGTGAGGGGCGCTGCAAGGGCAGTGGGCGCACAGCAGCCATAGCCGGGCTGCAGGGGCGAAAGGGACGAGATGGATAAGGTGGTCTTCGGGTAGGAGGCGCATGATGTGGGGAGACGAGGGGTGATGACGAGAGGAGAGAGAACGTACCTGGTGTATGCTGGTGATCGGCATTGGTGTTGACGTCAAGTACATTGGTCTTCGACTTCAGAGTGATCCAGTTGCGATAGCGTAGATAGACTAGATAAGCTGAGTAGGATAGGGTGGGCGCTGGGCACCAGACAGTAAGTGCAACATTGGATACTGTGTTGGTGTGATCAGAGAGTGGCAACATTGACATTCACGTTCATTGTATTGCTTTTATTTGGACAGTGTCTTGGTGCATTGCAATCTCTGCTTGGTTCATCACTATCTCAGCTACTTCGTGATTTTGCAACTTGGATTTCTGTCTATCGCTCTCGCTCATATTCCTTGCATTTTTATTTATTTATTTATTTATTTATTTATTTATTTATTTATTTATTTTTTAGGTTGGTACTGGTCGTTCCTCCCCCGACCCCCGTCCAACGCGGCCGTTAACACACCGCGTCGGAGAAAAATAGCACGGCGAGGTACTGATGGTTTAAGCGGACAGAAGGCTATCTTGCACCAGATTGCTGCAAATACTGCGTTGTTGATTGCTAGTGACCTTCCACATAGTGATGTTTGTACTGATTGCCAGTTTTCCTTTTTTAAGGGGCAACAGACTTAATTGAAGTTTGTTCCTTTTACTTCCAAAAAAATACACCGTTTATTTCCTCGTAGAAAGTCTTTGTGAGGATCTGGGTCCTCGGCAGGCCTAAGGGGGCCCTGTTGCATCTGCGCCCGCCCTAAGTGAAGGCGGGCCTGATAAATCACGAGAAGGCCTCGGCTGTCAATTTTGTATTTGGGGTCCAGGCAGTTTCGTCGCGCCAGTTGGTTGAAGGAAACACAGGCCGAGCAGCGAGGAAATTCCACGGCCTTCTAGGCTGTTCCGAAAGCGCAGGCCCTGGGCGAGATTCGCAGCCTCATACACAGACAGTTGGGGGGCCCAACCGAATGAGGCCCTGTAGCTGCACCAGAGGCGCAGCATCCTGGGGCCTACCGGAAGCTTCTGGGCCCAGGCCCAGGCCAGCCAGGCTCTTGGCAGGCAGGCTCTTTCCATATAGGGAAGAGCTCGCTGCCTGGAGCGGCATTCAGGCACTTGCTGGCTGGAGCTTCTGCTCGCGTGCTGGCTGCTAGCGCTGGAGCAAGGTGCTGCGCACGTGCGGTCGTGTGTGGAAGCAGGGCGCTGCTGAGGGCAGCGCCATAGCCCAGCCTCCATAGCTGGCTGAGGGCTTGGTTGCACAGTGAGGCGCAGGGGTGGTCTTCGGGTCTACAGGGGGAAGACGTGGGAGTGAGTCAGGGGAGAGGGAGAAGGATCATGATGATGATGATGTGAGGGCACATACCTGGTATTGGCGATGGTCTGCATTGGGTGACATCTTCGTGGACTGCTGACGTCAACAGTTGCATTGTCAATTAGTAGGCAGACTGTAGCTGTGTAGGAAGTAGGCTGGGCGCCGAGCGCCAAGTAGGGAGATAGGGCCTGGACACTCAAGTTGGTGGTGGCGAGAGCAATCTCTCATTGACATTGGTTTTCAGTGTTACGGGATTCTTCATTGGTGTTATATTGGTGCATTTCTGCTTTCTGGACACTGTGATACTATCTGGCCTTCAATGTGATTGTGCATGCTGGGCATTGTCATCTCCTATTGCGCATTTTCCTTGCATCTTTATTTCTCTTTTTTTCATTTTATTTTAACGGGCAACAGCCTTTACTTCTTTACGTCCAAAATACACCCCTTATTTCCATGTAACTCACCTCAAAAGGGGTCTGCTCTAATGCGTGATAATCCATACCCCCACCACCTTCACCCGACACAACGCCCAGTCTATTTGGGGCAGCTTTCAGTCTCGATACAGCAATAATGACTGGGCCCTAGAAACTCCGGCAGCCTAAACCCTTTTTTTTCTTTTTTCTTTTTTTTTCTTTTTTTTTTCTTTTTTTTAACTGGTGTAAGATACGGGAGTGATTGCTCGGAGTGGGAAATTGCCCACTCGACAGACGGGGAAAAAAAAAAAGAAAAAAAAAACAACACCAGGGAAGATAGCAGCAACAGGTGGGCATGTGGGCCCACGCAGAGAGGAGAAGCCAGAGAGAAGGAACAGATTGCAGTATGGTGTTTTTCATTTGTAAACCGCCAGTTCAAATGAACCTAAGTAGTGCTCTTACTGGTATATACGGCAAGATCACTTGGCTTCGGTACTGAAAGGGGCAGGCCACCTTCGAAAGGTGCAGTTGCAGGCTCGTGAGCCTTGGAAGCTAGCTTGGTGGACTTAGGCTCCTTGTGAACTGTGGTTTGACTGGATTGTAGTATGGTTGGTGGTGGACCCATAACCACTCTGAGGGCATACTCACACTAGGACTTTTTATTATTTCTGGACGTAATTGTGGCGTGATACATCCAGATCCGGGCGTAAATGTGTTCAGGTACATTTAAGATGGTGCTAGTGTGAGTCCGCCCTGAGATTGAAAGGATCCAAAAGAATCAAAACACAAATGGCAATGAGCGTTTCTTGCTCTATATATGAGAAAGAAGAGGGGAAAAAACAAACACATGAGGGTAACAAAAAAGGCCGGTTTACCACGGGGGTTGCAGAAAGGTTTAGCCTACCTGACCAATATGGCTTGCAGCGGGTGGTAAGCCCTCCCATGCCACTGTCTGCACCTGAATAGAACACCCACTCATCATAGCTGTGCTTGGGGCCACCTGCCGTCTAGAAACAGCGATAACGACTGGGCGCTCTATTGGGGTGAAGACAGTCAGTAGCTGCCGGTAAGATCACACATCAGAAAACGAGCAGAGACTCAGATGTACCGGTGGGTTAAACCACCAGTACCTCACCCCCACATCGCTCGTGGGCCCCTCACTGAGACTTTCGGAGCCCCGAAACACGACAACGGCCGCCAATGGAATTTATCAAACACATCAGAAAACGGACAGAGACTCAGATGGACCGGTGGGTTAAACCACCAATACCCCACCCTCACATCGGCCGTGGTCCCCTCACTGTGACTTTCGGAGCCCCGAAACACGACAACGGCCGCCGATGGAATTTATCAACAGTGGCCTGGCCCTGAAAGTTGCAGCCATTAACGAGCCGCATCTCTGAAAAGTAGCTGGGAAAGGTACTGGTGGTGGTACGAACACCCACCCTTCTGAAGAATCGAAAAAGCATGAAACTGTGTGAAATTGCGAATCAGTGACAGAAAGTCAATTGGACTACAGTGAGTGCCACCAAAGTAGACAGACTGAAACCTCGCCAGCTCTTGTGAAGCAATTTACCAGCAAAACAAAGGGTTCATTCTACAGCATTCAGCCACACGACCTGCACAAAACTGTGGCTGTTTCGCAAGTCCTCTCAAGAAAACAGTTCACAAGACGTGATGGACACAGTCTGCAGTCAAGGAGAGAAATCTGCGTTCAAGGAGAGAAGAAGACATGTTCTGACTAATCTGTGCACCTTGCAAAAAAAACTCATGAATCCCAATGATGTCTCAACAAGAGTCATCGGAATTCGTGAGTTAGTTTCCGAGTTTGGGGCACTCAAGGATTCTCTGCCCCGTCACAGGCGGGCCAGAATGTGTGGACGCGGCCAAATGAATGGAACTGCCCGAAAGCGTTCCGCCAAACGAACGGAACTTCCCAAAAACGTTCCGCCAAACAAATGGAACTTGCCAAAAACGGTTCTGCCAAACTAACCGAACTGCCCGAAAGCATTCTGCAGAACTGCCTAAAACATTCTGCCAAACGAATGGACGAAAAGAAGGAAAAGGACAAACCCCCCCCAGGACCTATCACTTTCATTGTGCTTGAACCAACAGTACATGGCCCCAGCCAACTTTTGAGCCTCACCAAAAAAATCAGAGGCTGGCTGGGGGCAACCGGACTAAATGGCTGACGGCACCAGCCAAACTAAACCAAAAATGTGTCGCTGGCATTTCAGCAAAGCTGGCTGGCAGTGGGAATCCGCCTTGTACGAAATAGGCATGGAGTGGGGTAGCCTTCCACATTATTGCATTCCTCTGTTTCTGATAGGCGTGCGATACTCCAGATAGACTGAACATTCCAGCTCGCAACTGCAGTTGTGGAAGATGACATTATGGAGGGTGGCATGGTACATGAGCAGGTTATCCCATTGTTTCCACCCCCTCTATACTCCTAATGAGCGCGGTCCTCAGCTGATGCTGCCCACCGGGGCCAGCGAAAATAGCTGGTGTGCGAGAGGTACCGGGGGGGGGGTGTCCCACGGGGAACCGCAGGGCAGAAGATCGAATCCAGATGGAATGCTCTCACGTCTGTTCTGGGGCGGATGTTTTGGAACACAAGTACATGCGCCCGATTCTGTTCATTGTTTTATTTTTTTGTCGTTTCTGCGGGCGCCAGGCACTCGCTCCACATGCGTAAAAGACAAAAAATATGGGAATGTATCTTTCCATGTTCCATCGGAGGATTCAACACAAGTACATACGCCCGATTCTGTTTGTTTTATTTAGGGAAATTTTGCATCTGTACCCCATTTAAAGATGGGAATACCGGCTATACCCAGTCCAGCACCTAACTTGCATCTATACGCAGACCCTGCCCAACTCAAACCACCAGTACCTTTCTCAGCTATTGATGCCAAACCTAAAAATGCCCTGCATGCCATTTTTTGCCAAGCCTGGAGGGGGCGGGTACCAGTAGGGGAAATTTGAGCCTGGCACCAGTACCGCCCCTTATGGCGAACGAGACGTGGCAGCCCAGGCCTTGTTTTCACTAGAAATGCTGAGATTCATCTCCCAGAAAAGAAAGAAGGGATAATTTGCGAAAATGGCACTATAAGTTGAGCTATATGCCAAAATGCCCCTAAAGGATGTGGGTAGAGCGGAGCCCCTCCGATGCAAAAAATGCTTTGCGAAATGCCCCTGGCGTCGGTTGGACCCACCATCTTTGCAAAATACCCCTACCAGGTACTGTCCATCTTTGCAAAAGGTCCCGGTACTTGCGAACTTTTCCCAGGCTCTGTTTTATTTTCGTTTTACCCCGTCAGCCCAGGTCATCTTTGCATTTTGCCCCCTGGCCGTTTGAGGCCGACAACGGCCTTTTCCAGGCCCTTAGACAGAACGCACCACCATTGTGGTTGTTATCTTTTGAAGCAACTTTCTGTCTAGATACACCCATAATGGACATGCATTCTATTGGGGGGCCCGCTGTCGTTTTAGCAGTTGCGTTGTGTGTGTGTGTGTGTGTGTGTGTGTGTGTGTGTGTGTGTGTGTGTGTGTGTGTGTGTGTGTG